CTGTCCCTCAGCTCTTCAGCTCAAGGCTAGCGCTCTACCACTTCCGGCTTTTTTCTTTTTGCTTATGTGGTGCTGGGGAATCGAACTCAGGGCCTCAGGCATGCAAGGCAAGCACTCTACCACTGAGCCACCTTCCTAGTCCACCTATTTCTTTTTTTTTAAATATATATTTTTTTATTGTAAAGATACTGTGCAGAAGGGTTACAGTTACATGAGCAAGGTAATGAGTCCAACATAGTGTCTTGTACATCTTGTTATAATGGGTCATCCTGTATCCTTATTTCAGCATTTTTTTATTTGTCTGGGATTATTTCTACTCCTAAACCCTGACTGTGAAATAGTCTATGAGAGTAGGTTGGGTGAAACTTGTTCTTCTCAGGCCATGTCTTGAGCATACTACTTCCTCCTGGAAGCATCTTGGAAGGGATTATGGCAGGATTGAATGGAACACTGTTCATTTGCTAGATTTCTCCCAGGTACGGGCTGATACTCCTGTGAGTCATATACTGGGAGCAGAAGTGGGATTAAGAATGACTCTTTACAACTTGAAAACTAAATGTTAAACTTAGCAAATTTAGATTTAACTCAAAAATTAAGTCTCACTAAATGTCAGGACTCAGCAGATTTGAGTTTCCTGTATGTGACCTTACACCTCCTATGTTCACTTCTTTTCTCAGAGGCTGCTTGACTCAGGAGAAGATTGTGGCTGGCTATGCCAGTCGGTTCATTGTGATTGCTGATTTCAGGTAGTGTGCAGTGTTCTGAGCTGCCTGCTTAGAAGGTAGATTGGACCTCAGCTCTCATTCCCAATTATAGAAGAGGAAGTTTATGGAGAAATGGAAGGACTCTCTGGCTTTCTGAGACTTAGGACAGTAGTATCTCTCTGTCTTGTTTCCATGCTAAAGGTGGATGTTGCTATCACAGCAGTATTACACTGAGCCAGAATTAAGCAGTGTTTTATGCTTTCGTGAGGAGAGACAGTCTATAACCCTGTTAGTGGAGCTTGTTATCAAATGTCACTCATTGGATCCTCAGGGCCCTGCCCACATGCAGTGACTCAGCATACCCTGCTTCTTCCTGGGTCAGAGCTTGCCACACATAACTCATATTATGTGGAAGTCTTTGACCAACCTCTCGGATTCTGTTTCAAGAAGTTTGGGAGGAAGCACTTGAGCATAGCATGTTAAAATGTGTGTATGTAATTACTTGTGAAATACAGCTGCAGGAAAGATAAAAGTAATAAATACTTATATGCAAATCAACAAATGATTGAAAAGCCAGCTTTACCAAACTTTAATATTGGTGTCATATTTCAAATACCTCCTAATTATGAAACAGCCAATACCTTTGAAGCCCCCTGTTCTTTCTGATTACTATTTTTTGCCCTCACAGCATCTAATTTAACCCCATTCCTGAATCTGATGTTTGTAACATTTATTTTATTTAATTCTAATGTACTTTTTGATTGTGCCTTCCTAGGAAAGATTCAGTGAATCTTGGGGATCAGTGGCACAAGGGAATCCCTATTGAGGTCATCCCAATGGCCTATGTCCCAGTGAGCCGAGCTGTGACCCGGAAGTTTGGGGGTGAAGTTGAACTTCGAATGGCTGTCAACAAGGCAGTAAGTGGCCAGAGAAGTGTCCATAGGCCCTTCAGCTCTCTGTTGTTCTTTCTGCTCTGTAACCTTTATTTTTAGTCTGTTTGTTCTTAGAGTTGGCTCTATTCATTTCTATATTCAATCTCAAAGTAGATTAAGATGATAGTCAATACAATACATTTCCCTGGCACAAAAGGGAGAAAAAGTCTGTTTCTATGTCTTGGGATCTGATGTTCCTCAAGTGACTGTCCACACCTCTAACCTTTGTACCTGAGACCTGGACAATCTTGGTGAATTGTTGGTCTCAAATCCCCTGGAACAGAATGTGTTCAAGTTCTATAATCTTTTTCTTCTCTTTACTCACATTCTGTGCTAAAACATGACAAGAAGTAGAACTTTTGGGGTGAATACCTCATCAGGGAATATACTCTAGACACTTGAGTCTGGATGGTTTTCTTCAACTTCTAAACTGGGTTGCAAAAAACTTTTGTTTTCTTTTATACTTAAATGAAAGTAACCATTTAAAACCTAACTATAGTTCAGTTTTTCTGTAGTTCAATTATAACTATGTAAAAAGTTTGGAAGACAGAAATAAGATGATATTTTTATTTTGTCATGTTTACTTCCTGGTATTGTTATGATTTTAAAAAAGTTATCCTAATTGTAGTGGTTGTACAGGGCCCTCACTGATGTCTTATGTTCATTTGTAGCTGGAAGGCCAGGAGGAGAGGGTGTAGGGTCTTTCTCCTAGCTGGCTTAACCCAGGTGGAATACCAGCCCTCATTTGACAGAACTCCTAACTGAGCTCTTACTCTCTCTTCTTCTGTTTGTGTGGGAGATCTAGTTTCCTTGCCTGTGGTCCTGATGTTCTGTCAACATTTGTGTTCCTAAACACTCAGTCTACTTTTCTAGTGTCCAAAGCTGTTGAGGAATTCTGGACTAATTAACTAAAACACTAAAGCTCTGCCTGTTTGACCTCTGACCCTGTCTCTGCTTCCTGCTGTTTTTTTAAGCTGGTCCTCAGGCTTGAACTCAGGGCCTGGGTGTTTTCCCTGAGCTTTTTTGCTCAAGGTTAGTGCTCTACTACTTGAGCCACAGCACTTCTGGATTTTTGGTGGTTAATTGGAGATAAGAGTCTCACAGATTTTCCTGCTGGTGTTATATTGGAACCATAGTTCTCAGATCTCAGCTTCCTGAGTAGCTAGGATTACAGGTGTGAATCACCATATGTAGCAATGTTTCCAGTCTTTTTGATGGGACTTCCTGATCATGGGGAAGTTATAATGGGCTATAATGTTATAATGCATATCAGCTTCCTTGTGAAGTATACATTGTCCACCTTTTGCAATTGAGAAGCAGGCTCAGAGAAGTTAATATTGTCTCCGAATTCTGTTCCTATATGGTGTTCAGACTCAAATTCAAGTATTTCTGACTAAAGCTCTTGCTCATTAATCCTTTGCAGTTCTGCCTTTTAGAAAGCACAAGGCAGGATTGATTACTGGAGCCCATTAATTAGGATGCTTGTCTTTGGCTATCACTTTCACGTCCCTAAACCTCTGCCTACAGTGTCTTTATCCTTGGTCATTATGGAAAATTACCTTCTAGGGTCCTGTGGTGACAGATAACGGAAACTTTATCCTGGACTGGAAGTTTGACCGGGTGCACAAATGGAGTGAAGTGAATACAGCTATTAAAATGATCCCAGGTAACCCAAGTGGCATTTACTAAGCATAGTCACCCTATTTTGTATTTTGTTTTATTTAATTATTGTTGTTTTAATTTGCTTGGGAAGAAGAATTTCCTCTATCCATATTTGGTGTTACTACTTTGAATTCATTTCCCCTCTTCCCCCAAGAATAATTATTGTCTACCCAGCAGCTTTGGAGTATATTTTAGTCTTTCTGAGTTGGAGTAGCTATCCAGCTAATGTAGGTCAGATGGGGCTTGTCTTGAAATAAAGCCACCATCTCTAAGTTGAGCCTGTCCTTCCAGGAGCTTGACTGCAGCCTCTGTGATTTTCCTGGGCTGTCTTCTTAGCAGAGGGGGGAGTGATTCAGTTCACCCACTTTCACTAGATGCATGTCATAGGGAAGATGCTATGCTTTGGGCCACAGGAGATGTTCTACTCCTATTCATAGACTCAGTCCTCAGGGGGAATTGGTATAAACCTGGGAAGCTGTGTGGCTTTGTGAGCCATGCTTGCAAATAACATAGAATGGAGCCCAGAGTGCACAGCAGCTGTTTTTTTATTATTACAACTATTATTATTATGTCATACAGAGGTTAAAATTCTATGTCAGGTTATAAGTACAGTGCTTAATCAGTGTTACCTCTAAATCATTCTCTCCCATCCTTCTCCATCACCACATCCCTACCCTCAAGCTATGTAGTTCAATTTTTACATGATGTACATTGAATATAATGATTACATTTGCTTACCCTACCTCTCTTCATTCCTTTGTCTTCCCTTTTCCCTCCCCCTATCATAACATGTTTCCACTTCCTGGTATTAGTTTTGATAGACAGTACATCCGTTGTTCAGAGTTAGACCTTTGGATTCCTCCCCTAAGTAGACTATCCTTTAGATTGTTTGTTTGTGTATATATGCATAGAGCCCTTTATATGTTATCATGCATGTTTGCCTTTTAGATATCACACATGAGAAAAAATGTGCTATTTTTCTCTCAGTGTGACTTTGTGAGTCATTCCTGCAAAGATCATAGAATGGAGCCCAGAGTGACAAGAGCTGTTTTAAAATTTTTTTTTCATTGTTATCATAAAGGCGATGTACAGAGGGGTTACGATTTCATAAGTCAGGTAATAAGTACATTTCTCCCTGGAAAATGCTACCCCTTCCCTTGCTCTCCCCCAGTCCTTCCCTCCTGTCCCTACCCTCAAGTTGCACAGTTCATTTTCAACATAGTGCCTACTGAATACCTCAGCTGCATTTTTTCTCCCTTTGTTGATGACTATACACAGTAACTTGGGTTATCTAATTTTCTTTCTTGGTTGTTGTTTGTAATCCCTGAGAGTAACAAGGTAGCAAAGAACCACCTGAGCATTTGAAGAAACTATCCAACCCAAGCCAGCCATTGAATATTCAACTCATCAGGTTCCTGTGTGTCTCTAATTCTTCTTTATTAGTTTACGATTGCCAGTATTTACCTGATTTATTATTTCAAACAGATGAATTGCATTATACTTATTGTTTTGGTTAGAAGAGAAGAGCTTGCCATTGATCATAATAGGTCAGGGTAGGATACTGCTTAGTTTCCTCTTTGTTGCATTTCTCTCATTGTCCACTAGGGAGCTCCCTTGCTCTTGCTTAGGTCTTTTTTTGGTCTAATGAGACTTTGAGAAGACCTTTGTGAGGATATTTCTGTATTTTGCTCTTCTTCTGAATGTATAGAATCTACATACTTTCAGAGATTTAAAAAAAATATAGAACCTAGCCTAAAGAATATGAAGACAGGCTAGCTATTAAATCAAGCAGAGTGTTACCAACATGCCTATCAGAGTGGTTTGTTATCGCTTCTTTTGTCTTTCCAGTTTTGCCTGTTAGTTTTGCTGTTGAACTGATAGCATGGAGAGAGAAGCCAGACCACTTTTCCTGTTGACACCTGTTGTCCTTGGATATTGGATCCAGTCCTCCTGGAGCAGAGCACCTCTTTTTGGAAAGAACCAAAGCCATTGGGGCTCTTCGCTCTGTGCTCACATTTAATCCTCTCTGCCCTTGCATAGTGTTTCATTTGGGGTGAATGGATTAGTAACTTGTAGCATCTCAATAATTTGAAGAGATCACCAGGATCTCTAATGTCATTGTGTACACTGCTGTCCTTCCCTCCCTCCCTCCCTCCCTGCCCTCCTTCCTTCTTTTTTTAATTAAGACTTTCTTTTTTTGGGGGGGGGGGTAAGCTGGTCCTGTGGCTTGAGATCAGGGACAATGCCAAGGCCTCTTTTTCCTCAAAGCTAGTGCTCTACCAGTTGAGCCACAGCACCACTTCCAGCCTTTTCAGAGTAGATTATTGGAGATAAAAGTCTCACAGATGTTTCTGCCTGGGCTGGCTTTGAACTGTGATCCTCAGATTTCAGCCTCCTAAATAGGTTGGATTATAGGCTGTCTTTCTTTTTTTATATGATCTTTTATATGAATGTAAGTTGAAGCTCTTCCAGAAACCCTCTTTACCTAAGTGTTCACACACTGTGTTCATGTTTATTGGAAATGATTTCACATTGGTTTACCAAAGATTGACCTTGTTCTTCTCCATCTTAAAAAAATAACTGGTATTCTATTTTATGGCAGTATAAAATAATTATTTAACAAGATCCTGACCAGTAGATACTTATGTTTCCAATTTGTGTGTGTGTGTGTGTGTGTGTGTGTACACACGCATGTGCACATCAATCTTGGGGCTTAAGCTGGGGCGTTGGCACTGTTTCTGAGCTTTTTTGCTCAAGACTAGCACTCTGCCATTTGAGGCATAGCTCCACTTCTGGCTTTTTTGATGATTAATTGGAGATAAGAAAGTCAAGGACTTTTCTGCTTAGGCTGGCTCTGAACTGTGATTCTCAGATCTCTGTCTCCAGAGTAGCTAGGATTATAATTGTGAGCCACTAGCCCCTTGGCACCTATGTTTCCAATCTTTTGCTAGAAGGAAATTGTGAGACAAAAAGATAAGCATGTCTGTGATATTTTTTAACTAGATGGTCTTAACTTGCCTTTCACAGTTAGAATTAGTTTATTCTTTACTGGCAATGTGTCAGACCCTTGTTTCCATACACTCCACTATCTTCATGCCTTTTCTTTGGTAGTTGCTGAGTGTTTTCTCATAGTAGTATTTGTGTGTATATGCAGATATTTGTGGCAAAGGCTGTCTGTAGCTATAGTTCTTTTTTTTTTTTTTTTTTTGTCGAGGGGCTTGAACTCTGGGCCTGGATGCTGTCCTTCAGTTCTTCAGCTCAAGGCAAGCGCTCTACCACTTCAGCCACAGCACCACTTCAGGTTTTCTGGTGGTTTATTGGAGATAAGAGTCTCATGGACTTTCCTGCCCGGGCTGGCTTTGAACTGAGATCCTCAGATCTCAGCCTCCTGATTAGCTAGGATTATAGGCGTGAGCCACCGGTATCTAGAATATCTTTTAAGGCACTTATTAGCCTTTTTGAGTGGCTTATTGTATGAAGTACCTTTGAAGTCGTTTTTTTTTTTTTTTGGCCAGTCCTGGGGCTTGAACTCAGGGCCTCGGCACTGTCCTTGAGCTTCTTTTGCTTAAGGCTAGCACTCTATCACTTGAACCACAGCTGTACTCCGGCTTTTTCTGTTTATGTGGTACTGAGGAATTGAACCCAGGGCTTCATGCATGTTAGGCAAGCATTCTACCACTAAGCCACATCCCTAGCCCACCTTTGAAATCTTTATCATTTTTTGTTTTGTTTTTAATACTTAAAACATTTTTATTGTAAAGGTAATGTACAGAAACCTTACAGTTACATAAGTCAGGTAATGAGTGCATTTCCTTTTGAACAGTGTCATCCCCTCCCTCATTTTCTTCCAGTTTTTCTCCTCCTGATTTCCCTTCCCTTCAAGTTGTATACTTCATTTCCAACATTGTGTCTAGTGGATTTCACTGCTGAATTGGTTCAGCTTTGTCTCACAGTTTCTGTGCTTCACCTTCCCCTCTCCAAATCAGATAAACTTATATACAAGACAAAGGGCACCAAAATAAAAAACAGTGACAGAAAGGAATAAACCAAAAAAAAAAAAAAGGAAAAAAGAAAAGAAACACAACTAGTACAATAAAAAAACCTGTTGTTTCTATTTCTTGGAGCTCATTTCCATAAGCATCATTTTATATGATCATATGCACATAGCTATTGAGTCCTTGTGATCCTCTCCTAAGAATATCCTCCTTTGTTCTCATTGTGTGAATGTTTAGACTGCTGTTTAATTAATCATATCCAGGTGTAGTTGTCTTTTACTATCCATTGGGTTTAATTGTAGATTTATAGGCACATTCTAATGATTACAAAGGAGGGAAATCATGCAGCCTATGTTTCTTTGGGTCTGACTTACTTTGCTTTGTATAATTTTTTCCAAGTCTTTCTATTTTCTTACAAATGGGCAATGCCATTCTTTCTGATGGAAGCATAGAATTCTGTTGTATATATGTACCACATTTTCTTGATCCATTTGTTCACTGATGGGCATTGATTCCATATCTTGGCTATGGAAAACAACAATTTTTCTGTTAGGTTGTCCTTTTCTTTGTTATTTGAGGAATCATTTATGTTTTGATGTGTTTCCTTTATCAGGTGTGTGCATTGGAAATATCTCCTCTCTGAGGAAGATTGGTAGTGTAATTGAAAATAACTGGGAGTAGGGGCTACTTAGAGTAATCTTGGAGGGTCTCTGTGGAAGATGTGTCATCTGATACACTGGAAGGACAAAGAAGAGCAACCCTTAAGCAATTGAAGAGATCAGGCAAAGGGACTAGCACTAGCAAAGGCACTCACTGATGGACAGAGCTGGAACATTTGGGTTTCTGAAGAAAGACATAATAGGAAGGGTGAAAGAGGCGGCAGGAAGATAATAAAGATAGCCAGAATCTCTTTCTGCTTTGTGGAGAGCAAGACTTCAAATTTGTTCAGTGCTACTTAACAATGTTTGCTTCTAGTGATCCTGCAGTCCTTGATTCTTGTCTTGGGAAGCTGAACCTTAATACTTCTTTTTGTCCTTTGTCCTGCAGGTGTGGTAGACACGGGTCTGTTCATCAACATGGCTGAGAGAGTGTACTTTGGGATGCAGGATGGCTCGGTGAACATGAGGGAAAAGCCTTTCTCTTGACCCTCTAAGGAGCCGTGTGCTCACCTTCAGTCTCTCCAGCCACAGCCAAGGTGGATGTGTCTCTCCTGGAGCCTTTGCCTTAATGTATCCTGCCAGGGCGGACAGTTGTGGGAAGTGGGGAGAAGTTAAATCAGTCTTCTGAAGTATTGTTATTATGTGTCTTTTTAAAAAGAAATTTAAACATATATATTTTTACTATTAAAATATTCAGTTTTTTTATACAGTAGAACTTGATTTCATGTTTTATATGAAACATTTACCAAAAAATAAAAACGAGCAAGAGAGTACAGGACTGTATTAGATATCTTCAACTCTAGCCTGTTGATTAAGCTTCTGAATTATTGGGTTTACTGAGAAAAATTACTGTCTTTGAAGTTGGTGAAATGAAGGGCAACTGGCAGTGACTTCCTGATGCCTTACTAGACACATTGTTTACTTTCCTGCCACTTTGTTTGGTTTTTAGGTAGCTTTCATTGTGATCACGCACAATATCTACTCACATTTTAAGGTCAGATTGACAAAAGACTGGGGTGGAGCAGTGTGGTATAGTGATGTGGAATGAGGGACTTCTGCTGTGACCCTGGGGCTTGTTCAGATCCCTGCTATTGGAAGCAGTTGGCCAGAAATACTTGCCAATACTGCCAAAGCACTGCAGTAAAATGTGAAATACTTTTTTAAAAAAATGATATTCTTTCTGTTAATATTTTTACTGTTCTTTTAACATTGCATGATTTGGCGTCAGACGTCATAACTTCATGTGGTTTGAAAGTTGAAATAAAGAAGTGTTGTGCCATTTTGCCAGACTCTTTTGTCTTCACTATAGAATTTATTATAGAATGCTCACTTCATTTATACCAGGTAAGGGATGGCATTGGCTCAAGAAATCTGAGTAACCATCAGGTAAATGGTTTCTTTATTTCTGGTAGGCAATACTTTTCTGTATTTAAACAAGGGAATATTTCTTCCATAGACATTGGTCCTACAGAATGTTACCCCTCTAGGCCAGACCACATGAGCGGAGGTCCAGCTCACTTTTCTCTTGGCGGCAAGAGGCCCAAGTTCCCTGGGGTGGGGGTGGGGGGCCGCTGGGAAGGGGGAAGGGGTCCCTCACTGAAGTCCTGAGGCTCCACGTTGTTGACCTCAGAATCCCTGTGTGACGGGGGCGGAAGAGCCACATTTCCACGTGCCACGCCTCCGGGGTTTTCTCTGTGGACCGGGCTCAGCCCTCTGGAAGGCTGGCCCTACTGAGTAAGGCAGGATGGTGTGGCTCACCGGGCTGATGTGCTCAGGGAGTTCCTGTGGCTGGCCCTCACGGTGGGAGAGCCGGGTCTGACTAACAGGAGGCCAGATGTTGCCCGGGGTTTCCATTCTTGAGCCTCTGAGCTCCTGCCGGCTGCCTACGGGGAATGGGGGCTTCTTCTCTTTCCAGAGTCCACTTACTTCTCACTGGCAACGGAACCCTGATCTCATGCTGGCTTCAAATGCTGGCCTCTGGGTGAGGGGAGACGAGATCAGCACATGGAGAATGGAGCTTTCTGGAAAGAGCAACTGGCTCTGGATAAGTCTGGAGCGGAGCACTGTTTTTTTTTTTTTTTTTGTCGGTCTTCTGCTGACCTCCGCAGGAAGCCGGTCACTGCGCTTCTCCTGGTGTTCCCACTCCTCTCCTCGAGCCCCGCAGACATCTTTGATGGACTCTGCTCATGCCAGTCAATGAGCAGAAGTTCTCTTTGGAGCGCAGCAGGAGGGCCGCAAAGGTGGAGTGGAATTGTCAGTTCTCGTCGTCACTACCATCTATGGTTTCCCTCTGGTGCTAAGGCAGCACGGAAATACTTCACAGGCAGTTTTGACTTGGTGATATTTGTGAGAGAGCATCTCAAACACTTGAGGCTTTACTTTTCTTGGTTAATACTAGGGCAGCACAGTCAAACAAAAGTCACACTTATGCCCAGGCTTTATATTACTCAAACTTACTGTAGTCACAGAAGCTGATAAGCAGTAAAATAGGTAACAGGAACCTTCTTTTTATTCCCTCCACTCTGTAAACTTTAGATAGACTGCCTAATAAGCAGTGAACTGTGTAGAAACAGCTTCATTGACAGGGTAAAAAAGGCCACGACCAGCTGAGTGATCATTCTGGATGGGCCTCAAAGAGCCCATTCTGTTGTTAAAGGTCTCTGGGCCGGCACCCGTTTTCCCCAAGCTAACTGCACAATATTTGAACAGTCATTTCCTCAGCTTACTCTTTGTTTTGAAGTTTGAATCTACTGGCATCTGGAGTCTGTAGCCCTGCTAAGTTGAGTTGCAGAATAAAAAATTCAGGACTGAGCATTAAAAGGCATTTTTTTTTTTTTTTTTGCCAGTCCTGGGGCTTGAACTCAGTGCCTGGGCACTGTCCCTTAGCTTCTTTTTCCCAAGGCTAACACTCTACCACTTGAGCCACAGCACCACTTCTAGCTTTTTTTGTGTATGTGGTACTGAGGAATGGAACCTAGAGCTTCAGGCATGCTAGGCAAGCACTCTACCACTAAGCCACATTCCCAGCCCTTAAAAGGCATTTTTGCTTCTTGTCTAAGTTCTCCTTATTTTCACTCTCAGGTTTTTTTTTAAAGAATTAAAAAAAAACTTAAAAATACCTTTACAAAGCTGTACAAAGGTGTTTCAATTGAGCCTGGATTCTGTCCCCTAGCTGATTTTTTTTTTTTTTTTTGATCCGGTCTTGAGGCCTGAACTCTGGGCCTGGGTGCTGGCTCTCAGCTCTTCAGCTCAAGGCTAACACTCTACCACTTGAGCCACAGCACCACTTCTGGCTTTTTTCTTTTTGCTTATGTGGTGCTGAGGAATTGAACCCAGGGCCTCATGCATGCAAAGCAAGCACTCTATCACTGAGCCATCTTCCCAGCCCCTGTGCCCGAGCTTCTTTTGCTCAAGTATAGCACTTTACCATTTGAGCCACAGCTCCATTTCTGGGTTTTTGGAGAGCAGACTCTTGTGGACTTTCTTGACTGGCTGACTTCAAACCGTGATCTTCAGATCTCCCCCCCCCATTTTTTTTGTCAGTTGCGAGACTTGAACTGTGGGCCTGGGTGCTGTCCCTGAGCTCTTCAGCTCAAGACTAGCTGCTCTCTACAACTTGAGCCATAGTGCCACTTCTGGTTTTCTGGTGGTTAATTGGAGATTAGAGTCTCACCAACTTTCCTGTCCATGCTGGCTTTGAACCGTGATCCTCAGATCTCAGCCTCCTGAGTAGCTAGGATTACAGTCATGAGCCACTAGTTCCTGGCAAAGCTTCCATTCATAACTGAAGCACAAATAAAAAACATCCTATAATATGCAAAAATAAACAATTTATCACCACAAAACAGCACTACAGAAGATTCTCAGATGTTTCATGCACATAGAAGATCAACATGAACATGAGAAAAATGAAGACAACAGACCCTGCTATATTACTAGATAAGCATACAAGGAACTAGACTAGACGAGATGCAAAACTAAAATTGGGGGGAGATGATAGGACTACATCTCAATCCTAACAATATTCCACCAAAAGACATACAACTGGATTCTGGTGGCTTATGCCTGTAATTCTTGCTAGTCAGGAGGTTGAGATCTGAGGATCATGATTTGAAGTCACCCAAGTCAGGAAAGTCCAGGAGACTCTTTTCTCCAATTAGTACTAAAAGCTGTAAGACAAGTTGTGGCTCGAATATTAGCCTTGAGCAAAAAAGCTCAAGAACAGCTTCCAGGCCCTGAATTCAAACCTCAAGCCTGGCACACACACACACACACACATAGTCTAACATTGTTAGGAAAGTTAGTGTTAGGACTGCTGTCTTTTCTTTGATAAATTTAATATATTTCCCATTTTTATTAGTATGAATGAATAATGCAGGGTGTTTTATTGCAGTAATTCCATAGATACATACAGTATACTTAGAGTAAATGTACTTCCTTATATTTTCTTAGAGCCTTTCCTTTCCCTCCACTTTCAACTGGTGTTTGGTTCATTCATTTATGCTATCTTATCTCTGTCTGTCTGTCTGTCTGTCTGTCTGCCAGCCTGCCTGCCATACTTTGATTCTCTTCACTGTCAGTACCTTTTCCTTTCCCCATCTCCACTGAAGTCCCCTGCAGGCATCCCCCCTTTCACACTTATGTCTCCTTGTTAATATTTTAAGTCTAGGTTGCATATAAGAGTGAAACCATGGTATTTGGCCTTTGGTGCTTGACTTATCTTGCTCAACATGCTAAGTGCATTATTTTTTATTAAGACTTTTGATTTGGATGATAATTTTTATAAAATGAGCTGAGAAGAGTTAATAGAGCAATGCTTCAAAATAATAACAAGTTTGTGTGGCATAGGTTAAATTTGGGGATAAAGATAAACAGGCTGGGTTTCTGAAAAACACCTGCCTGTTCCATGTCACATGTAAATTGTGGGTTTTGCAGGCATTCACACCTGGGACCAGACTGGAGTTTTGAATGTTAATGTGAGGTTTTTCTTCTCGAGAAGGAAACATAACATCTGCTATACCTAAGGCACATAGCCAGCAGTTTATTCTAGAGGTTAATTTTTATGAATTACAGAGTCTTCATTAAAAACATCATCTGACCTTGCTGGCAATAAATTAGATGAAAACAGCTTTATTAGTGTGATGAACGTGAGCTGCAAGTTTGGTGTTTGAGAAATGCTTGTAAGCATTTGCCTCCCTTCGGGGAGGCAAACAAAAAAAAAACATAACAAGGATGTCAACAAAATCTATGCGGTCTTCTTTCTCAATTCAGCTGGAGCACAAAGTGTTGAGTTTATCATCAGACTTTCCCTGAGCTCCATCCTGGGTCAATTCCGGTGGGCACTGGTTGGGGGAAGAGGGTGACAGAGAGATGAGTGAGGTCCCCCTTGCCTCCTAGTGCTTCCAGCCTGATGAATGAGAGCACAGGTGACAGGAGGCCCAAGAATGGGAACAGGGCTATTGGATGACTCTTGGCAACAGCTTCTTATGGCTGTCATTGCTGTCAAGATACTTTAAAAAACGTGCCCTAGTTCATGGGAAACAAGCCTGAAGAGGATTACTTAACCTTGGTTATAGACACAAAGCTGGCCAGTGACTAAGCCAGCCTGGAGTCACTGGTTTTGAGGTTGGGGATTTGGTATTCACTCTTGTGTTAGAAGTGCCAGAGATGCCATTTTATGGGGGAAATTCCAATGGATATTGGCAAATTTCAAAGAAAGACCAGTTTTAGCGTAACGTTTTCAAGAGGTGAGCTTATGTCTGGAGAGGGACTTTGATGTGTTCCTTAATGTTCAGTTTCAATATCAACCTTTTATTTGAAGGCAGAAAGGAGAGGAAAGGGGAACTTGTCCCATGTGCCAGATACCATCCTGGGATTTTTTTTTTTGTTAGGCCATATAGCTATTTGCAGTGCCTTTTATTATTATTTTTTATACATTTTTTTGTAAAAATACTGTACAGATGGCTTACAGTTACATGAGCAAGGTAATGAGTACATTTCCTATCAAACATTGTTACATCTTCCTTTGTTTTTCCCCTACCATCCCTTCCCTCCCACCTCCACAACTATACTCCCATTATTGTTTTTTTGTACCAGTCCTGGGTCTTGAACTCAGGCCCTGAGCACTGTACCTAAGCTTTTGTGCTCAAGACTAATGCTCTGCTACTTTGAGCACAGACCTTTTTGTAGTTTATTGGAGATAAGAGTCTCATGGATTTTCATACCTGGACTAGCTTTGTACCATGATCCTCTGATCTCAGCCTCCTAAGTAGCTAGGTT